AGTGTTGGTCATGTTCACTTTCCGTCCCTAAGTTATCATTGACGTTGCACTTTTCGTCCCTGAGTTATACTAAAATTGCAAATTTTGCCCATAATCACTACTACATAAATGGTATATATACTACGTCACTTTTTAAATAACCGTTGTCTAATATATTGTGTTATACACTTATACTACGTCACTTAATAGACGACGGTTGTTTAAATAACTACCTATATAGTTGACATACACGGCAGTTTTTTAACCACCGTATATAGTTAACATACACGACGATTTCCAAAACCGTTGTAGAAAGTGTATATTTACAACGGCAGTCACTTACACGCGCGACACTTCGAAAACTGTCGTGTATGTGTAAAAAAACCGCCGGTGGTTATTTAAAGTGTATGACGTAAAAAAAAAAAATAATTAAGTTATATACGACGGTTATTTAAAAACCCGTTGTCTATTAAATGACGTAGTATAACAAAATATATAAGATGGTGGTTATTTAAAAAACATTCGTCTATTAAGTGATGTAGTATACCATTTATGTAGTAGTGATTAGGGACGAAAATTGCAATTTTAGTATAACTCAGGAACGAAAAGTGCAACGCAAATGATAACTTAGGGACGCAAAGTGAGCATAAACAACAATCGGGGACAAATTCTACAATTACTCTATAACTCAGGGACGAAAAGTGCAACACCAATGATAACTTAGGGACGAAAATTGAGCATGACCAACACTCAGGGACGAATTCTACAATTACCCTATAACTTAGGGACGAAAAAATACAATTTTCCCTTATTATTATTATTATTATTATTATTATTGGTGGGCCCAAAGAGCATGGTATTATATTTGGTCTAAAACTTTTTAAAATTAGTCGTTGGTGGATTGGGCTTAGTATATATATTGGGATTCCGAAATTGTAAGGATTTTATGAGTTGCAAGATTTCAATCTAAATGATATGTTTCATCACAATCCAAACACTTCACCAGATCAGTGAATTGGTAAGAGTGACAAACCGTGTGTACAGTGAGCAAGGACATAATCACCCTCTTTCACGCCATTTTTGAGAGATATTATTTGAGCTTGATCCGACAAACCATAGGTGAAAACACTTGTCTAAATTATAATTCAAACGACGACGCGGTCTAATTTTAAGACTGAGTTTGTCCTCGAAACTCCTTGCTCTCTCAACATTCTATTGATGCCATTATAGGGTGTCACCACAAAGCCAAGTTGATTCTATGTCGTGAAATGTCAATAGTAAAATGAACTGTTATCGAGACTCGATTGAATTAGTTTCACCTTTAGCAGATGTGAAAATACAACACATCAATACTCGGGAATGCCCCTTAATTGGTCAATTCTCCATACTCTCTCCAGTTTATAGCCAATGTAGAAGATAAATACAACACATCGATCGATCATTGATTCCTTGTAAATGGCTTAGCTTGTACATTTGATGATTGTAATAAGTTTATGATTTTCATTGTATGGCACTCACTCATCTTTGTGTATGTTCATCTTGCATAGGTCCAAATTATAATTAAAACAATAAGACGGTCTAATTTTAAGTCTGGGTTTGACCTCGAGACTCAGCTCCTTAACCTGGATTTGGCCTCGAGACTCCTTACTCTCTCAATATTCCATTGATGTCATTATGTGTTGTTATCACAAAGCGACATTGGCCCAACGTCGTGAAATGCCAGTAGTGAAATGAGGTCTCATCGAGTCCTGATTGAATTAATTTCATCTCTACAAATTATCAAATTTAGTACAATATAAAAGTTTTCATCAACAACAAACCTTAATCAAAACCAAAAACAAAACACCCCATCAACATTTTTCACCAACAACACATTGCAAGGGGCCAGCATGAGAGGTCAAGGAAGGAACCAAAGACCCCTGAGCAGCAACAAACAACTGCGATGTGGCGTACGAGGGAGAACAGCTCCCATATCCAGATGGAACAAAGTAAGCCCCATTCAAGAAAACATCCTTAGTAGACCTCCATCTCCATGTCTTCCAACCTCCATTACTCTCCCTCTTCGTCACCTCTTTGTCGTCGGCTGGAACATCATCTGAAGCCACGAAATAGTTGCCCTCACTTAGTATCGTCGGACCTGCGCTCCCTCCAATGGCGTACTGTAGCCATTGGTCGTAGTAGTTGTTGGCTACGTGAGCATAACCGTGTCGAACCCTGTCGTTAATTAAAACCCAGAAATACATACATATATGATTAACTTCAGTTAAGTTTAATTTCCTAGGTTATATATGGGAGACACATTATTAAATTAAAGTATACGAACCTAGGCATTCTCTGAACAAGATCTCGGCCGAAATGATTAAACACCACAGTGACTTTCATAACTCGGTCTGCCGTGTAGCTGTCTCTGTGTCCAAGCAACATAACCTGAAATAATAAACATATATATAGTTGTCACTGCTGGAAATTATGAAATTTCCGACCACGTAAAAGTGATATTAAATAAAGTGGAAAGCAAAAAGTGGTCAGAAATAACAACAAAGGTTTTTCCCGATACCAAAAGTGATCGGAACAAGGCTTTCGACTTGATTTAAGATTACTTTCAGGTGGTCGGAAATTTCAAAATTTCCAGCAGTGTGTTTTCTTTTAATTTGGTACCATTAATTACCCTAGGATTAAAAAACACCACTTACTTTGTCGTGTTGAGTGAAATAATTGTTGGAGATGGTAATCGCAGTGGAGGCGTGAATGACATCAACGAGGCCATCGGCGCAACGAGCAAGAAAGCAATGGTCAACCCAAACATGGGAGGATGCTAAAACACTAATCGCATCACCATCAGACCCAATTCGTTCTCCAACGTGGTCGGGACTACTTCGGACCATCCCACGTTTCCCCGGCTTACAATCATGAATGCTAATCCCATGAACAATAACATTCGTAACATTCTCAATTGTCACGCACGGCCCATTCGCAATCTCAACCTTAGCACCTCTCCCATCTATGGTCTTGTAGCTATTCACCATCAGCTCATTCTCTAGCGTAATCACCATGTCCTTCTCGAAAACCATCCAAAGCGGCTCGGTTTGGATTGCCCCATAACGTATCGTCCCTGGTTTGGGGTTTATAGGGTCGTCGTCAGAAGGGTCCGTGACTACATATATCTTCCCGTTTTTCCCACCTGCTGCTTCACTCCCAAAGCCAATTGCGCAATCGGCCAATGCATGGCGATTGCTGGCCCAGTGTGGGTTAGATCTCCAACACGAATCAATCATGTTCATGAGATTATTCGGAGGATAAGAGTTTAATAAGGTTTTGGTTGCATAGTGGCTTGTTTGGTGTGCTAGTGATGTTGGGGGTGAATATACTGATAGGAACCATGAGAGTAGTAATAGAGATGGAATTGAAGCTGCCATGGCTGGGTAAAGGTTAGGATGAGGCCTGAGGGATGCAAATATTATTGCAGAAATTTAAATAAATGCAAGAAAGTGGTGGACATGTTGATTGGGAAGATTTTGGGGGGATTCATATGAACGTGTTTGCACGAGCTACTCCAAGCTAGGTATAGTAGATAGATACTTTGCATTGTGGAGTAAGAGTAGTGATAGTTTGTACAAATTTTGATTTATGAAAATGTTTGTCGTCATTACTCAATAATACGTTTTAGATGAGGTTCGTCTTGCATTGTGACGTAACTGATAAAAGACTTTATACAAATTTGACATTCAATTACTTTGTACAAATTAAAGATTAACAAATTAAATAGTAAAGTTTACCATTGAACGTAATTAATTCACCATAATGGAAGAGAAACTAACAATTATTATACTAATTATTCAAGAACATGGGAAAGATTTATGCATGATCATTAGTAACATGTTGTAAGGATCAAGCTAAGGGTATGATTTGAGCATAATCATATAATTAACTATAATTAGGCTGAAATATTTATTATTATTGGGTACTATTAGAAGCTATATAATGGTGGTGATAAGTGTTAATTCTTGTATTCTTCTTTTTATCTTTTTTTTTTTCCTTTCTTTCTCTCTAAATTCTTCTTTGGAATAAATATTCTCATGAAATAGTGTCTACTCCAATTTTTTCTAATATAAAAATCATACTTCATTCATTCAGTCACTCTTTTTAAAACAAGTAGTGTCTATTTTTTTTATGTGAGATAATATTAATATAACTAATTTCTTTTCTTAGTCATTTTATTAATACAAAAGAAATAGAACAAAAAAAAAAAAAAAAAGATCACATAATGCTGCTTCACCAAACCACACCTAAAGAATCCATTGAAGGCTAAATAGGACAAATGCCATCGGATCGGATCAGAAGTTCCTACCCAAATTTAATTTCCTAAATATATTATTCAATAATTAATAATAAACCCTTAATATTATCAATGATTGAGTTTGTTGCCTTAAAAAAGAAAAAAAAAAAAAAAAAAACCCCTTAAAAGTTATGACAAGTTTCATAGTTAAGAGTTAATTAAATTTTTGTGATAGATTTATTGGTGACAATCCATTTCTAGTCTTTTTTTTTTTTCAGAACATCTTTTTGGTCCTAGCATGACCATTTTTTGTCCTTCATCAGCAACACTGTTTAAACTCGGTAAAATATAAGGATATTTAGGTCTTAGATCAATTATGATTTTTTTTTAAAAAATAAAATTAAAATTAAAATATAACGAGTCAATCCACTTTGTATAAAAATGATCGAAATGTCATTATATTTAACGATATTTCAATGATTTTGTTGACGGATGATCAATGATCATAACACAATAATATTGAGACCAAAGAGAAATGTTCTAAAAAAAGAATTAAAAATGAACTGTTACCTTTAAATCTAGAATATGCAAATTGAACCAAGCTAAGGAAACGACTTTGAACTAATAATTTATAAACTACAATGAACACTTTATGATTCTTAAGATCTTATATAGATGAGCGATATATAATTCGTTTAATTTATAACTTTAGATTATCCTATTATAAATTTGATCCATAATTATATTCTCAATTTGAACAAATAACATTTTCCATTTAATACAAATATATAACAACGCATATACAGAACGAAAAGAATACAGAACCATACAAGCTGCATTTATGCATGCAGAGTAGCCTTATATATGGAAAGAAATTAGAATTGAATAAAAAATTTGTTTTAATTAACAAATAGCTATAAATAATAACATGATTAATTATCTTAATTAAATTCTCTTGAGGCATGCAACTGCTGTCCTGTTCGATCTTCTGTCCTTTTCACAATCTATCACAAATAAACCAACTGAGTTGCTCATCGTATCAGGCATAACTGCACATTCCATAGACGCAGGTTGTCCCTTTCTTGCACTTTTTCCGGCAGCCGCCGCAATTGTTCTTGTCGAACAAAGTGCTGACGCACTTTCCTCTGCAACACGTCTCATTGTACCTGCATTTCTTCCCGCAAAGCCCGCAGTTCTGTCGGTCGTTCATCACGTTAACGCACTTTTTCTTGCAGCAATCGGGCCCCGGGCTGCCCTTGGCGCGGCAGATTCTGGGGTTCTTGTTGCACGTCAGGTAGTTTCGGGCTTTCTCCACCACCTTCTTCTCCTTGCCTTTCTGCGCAAGAAAGCGGCCCGTTCCCCGGAGGAACTGCGGCGGTCCCGCCGCATTTAGAAGGCCGTCGCCGGCAGCTTCTTCTTCGTCCTCGTCTTTGTGTTGGGCGGAGGAAAGAGTAATGGCTATGGACATTACAATGGCTAAGAGCAAAAGAGCTTTAAGGATCTTCATTGTTTCTTTGAGGAAATGTTTTGGTTTCCTTGGAGAAATGAGGATTTTGGTTTAATTTGATGAATGAAGGATGGGAGGGGAATGGATAATGGGAATTTATAGGGGAAATTTTGCATGGAGTAATATTGGTAGTTGCTAGTGGAGTGGTCATAATTAACGGCCAAGGTATACGATTCAGATATTTAACCTAAAATTAGGCACTTTATATTAGAATTGAATGAAATTATCCTTGAGTGGCACGAAATGCTGTGATTTTTTCCTTAATTACGTGGGAAAGTCGAGAATTGAAAGCCAGTTATGTTTGAACTTTTTGTACCAAAAAAGCTGTTAGAGAAGCACTTTTGTGCATAAATCTATTGTCTATGCTTTGACTTGCATTACAATATTGTATCTATCTTCAACTTTGACAACACTACATGCAATGTATGGATGCATGATTGGTCGTCAACAGTTTTCTCTATTTATTTCTTTTACTCCAAAATTGACAGTTTTCTAGGGATGTCAAATGGGCTAGCCCGCTAGGTTTTGGGCTAGCCCTACAGGGTTGGTGGACTTGTTGGCTTGGGCTAAATGATTTTTTTATTTTTTATTTTTGAGTTGGGTTGGCCCTAATCCTAAACAACGGGTTGTTGGGCTAATCCAACGGGCTAAATCAATAAACAAAATTTTTATTACAAATAGAGTAGGTTCATAACTATATATATATATATATATATATATATATATATATATATATATATATATATATATATATATATATATATATATATATATTGTGTGTGTGTGCGCGCGTGTATAATGTGTGTAGTGTATAAAAGTACATTATTTTATATATACTATCAAATAATGTACCTTCAATACACAAATAATGTACATTTATTATATTAAAAATGTACCCTATATTCATGGTCCACACAAGTTGTATGGACTATGGTCCATCCAATAATGATTGGATATTACACGGGCCAGCTCAACAATCCATGAGCTGGCCCAACTCAATCCAGTAACCCGATAGGGCCAACCCAATGAGCTTACATTTTTATTGGATTGATCTTTTTGGATTTTAGCCCTGCAATTTTTAGGGCTTATTGGGCCAGCTCATTGGTTCAGGGCTAAATTGACATCCCATTTGAATATAGATTAGCTATATATTATTTTATTATTAGTTAAGGGCAACCATATATAGGATTTTAAAAATAAAATTTTAATTTAAAGTATTAGTATACAAGAATAACCTTCAGGTAGTAGTTAGGCTTCCTTGAAACTTACAACGAGATGAAAATATACAAGTCCAACAATGGTGCATCAAAATAGAACAACACTTAGCTTGTTTCACCACTCAAAGGCGTAATGAACGTCCTCCTTCAAAAGATGATTCTCGAGAAAAAGGTAAGGAAACGGTAAGTGGGGTAGTGAGGCCCCGAAGAGGCGAAGACTATGAACAGATTCATGACTTGATATCCAATGATGATTCAAATCTTCAATAATAAGTCTGGAATTTCAAATCCTACGTTTAATGCATTATTTGATATTTTAAGAATAGTGGTGAGATCTCTGTAAATTCTCTATTCCCTTCTTCTCAACATCCAGCTGGTTTTTTATGACTTTCAGAATTTCAATAACGACTTCAACTTCCTTGAAGTAACTTCTGAACAAGTTGATATATGGTAGTAGTTCTTGGTCCGGCTTAATTAGCTTGGTCTTGATATTGATCTGTCAGGATGTTGTGCAGCTCTAAACAAGGTTTACATAAAATGAACTAAAATGTGAACAACTTCTTTGTACGTTCCATAAAACTTAACAACCCAGAGGAGAAAACACTTTTATTGTTTTCATCAAAAGAACATTTTTATTAACAATGAAAAAATTCATAGTTGCTACTCGAAGGTGCATGTACTCTGATTAAAACTTTCTTTGTAAGGTACTAGTTGACAAAGGACTACAATGATGTAATCAAACTTAAATTACTAAGCAACTCTTACAAAGAGTCGAATTTGAAATCTTGTGATTACCTATAAGCAAATTATCTGACTAGGACTGGGCGTGACAAAAAAAAAAAAAAAAAAAAAAAAAATCATTCCGTCAATTAGGACAATGGGTGATTCAAGGTTGTTGAGGAATTGAGGAATCTAGTAAATTGTTTATTTTATGAAAGATGTAATTTTAATAAAAAAATTTACTCCATATTTTTTTTGTCGCAATCCTTAATTGTAGGAGGCACATTTAAGCCCGTACTATACTCAGATTAATCCTCATTCGCACTGGGCCGACCCAAATAATGGGTAAAGTGCTAGCCATATTGGTTTTTTCATACGAAAGGAGTTTGAACTCCCAACCTCTCTTAAGGGACGAGAACAAATTATGCTGTGCATCCGTATGCACCATGCATGGTGCATACGGATGCAAAAACGACGTCGTTTTAATAAAACGCGCGTCTCCCCTTAAAAAAAAAATCAGGTTCGATTCCCAGCAACAACATATGAACTATAATTCCATAATCGATGAACTATAATTCCATAATCTAATTTATGAACTAAAAATTCCAGAATGAATGAACTAAAATTCCATAATCTATAAACTAAAATTTCAGAATCGATGAACTACAATTCCATAATCGATGAACTATAATTCCATAATCAATGAATTATAATTCCATAATCTATGAACTAAAATTCCAGAATGAATGAATAATATAATGTTGTTGCTGGGAATTGAACCTGAATTTTTTTAAAAGGGAAAACGCGCGTTTTTTAATAAAACGACGTCGTTTTGACATCCGTATGCACCATGCATGGTGCATACGGATGCACAGCATAACGATTGACGGATGAGAGTGCACGGTCACGTACTCACGACAACCAAAATTGTTTTAATTAACAAATCCTTGATTAGCGATTCCAAACTTACCAACAAACCCTTACTAATTTTTCAATTATGATGATGAGCAAATTAAATAGCTAGTATTTTCCATTTCATACAAATATATCACAGAATTACATGTATAAAGAACGGAAAGAATACAGAACCGTACAAGCTGGCTAATTATGCATTATATTTATGCATGCACCACCTTATTCTTTGAAAATAAAAATTGTTTTAATTAACAAATATCTATAAAATAAACAAGATTAATTAACTTAATTAATTAAATTCTATGGAAGCATGCAATTGCTTCATTATCACGCATAACTGCACATTCCATAGACGCACGTCGTCCCTTTCTTGCACTTGTTCCGGCAGCCGCCGCAGTTGTTCTTGTCGAACAAAATGCTCACACACTTTCCTCGGCAGCAGGTCTCATCGTACCTGCATTTCTTCCCGCAAAGCCCGCAGTTCTGTCGGTCGCTCATCACGTTAACGCACTTCTTCTTGCAGCAATCCGGCCCCGGGCTGCCCTTCGAACGGCAGATTCTGGGGTTCTTGTCGCATGTCTGGTTTCGCGTTTTCTCCGCCTTCTTCTCCTTCCCTTTCTGCGCCAGAAAATGGCCGATCCCCCGGAGGGACGTCGGCGTTTCCGCCACTTTCAGGCCGCCGTCAAAAGAGAACGGTTTGCCGGCGGCGGCGGCTTGTTCTTTATAGTCTTTGGTTTTAGTTGATGGTGGTTGAGCTGAGGAAACAGAAATGGCGGCTACTGACATTACAATGGCTAAGAACAAAAGGGCTTTAAGGATCTTCATTGTTTTGCTTTCCTTGCAGAAATGAAGATTTTGGTTTGATTTGATGAATGATGGGTGGGAGGGGAATGGATAATGGGTATTTATAGGGGAAATGTTAATTAGTTGCATGGAGGAATATTGGTTGTTCCTACTTGCTAGTGGAGTGGTCATAATTAGTGGTCTAGATATAAAATTCAGATAATTAACCTAAAATTAGGCGGTTTCAAAAAAAAAAAAAAAAAAAAAACTAAAATTAGGCACTTAATTTAGTATGTCAAACAAATAAATTAACAATAATTTGTGATCCATCCAACGAGTTATGTAATATTTTGTATTTAAAATTCGTGAATACGAAGAAACTCTTTCAGCTTTGAATAATCATGTTTAAATTAAATGTAACTATTAAACATCAAGAGTCAAAATAATATAGGAGTGCATGCGACATAATATAATATAATGATTATATTCTAGCCCTCCCAAATGCTCTGTTGGGTCGGGGTGTGGGGGCCCTTAGGGTTGGGTTCAGCTTTTGGAAGAATGATTATATTCTAGTTAGTTATTTCTTTTTGATAATTGGAAAAAGTGTCAAATAGGCCCGTGAATTTTTACACATTATGCAATTGAACCATCGAAAAAATAAAGTGTGCAATTAGACTATTAAACATTCAGAAATTATGCAAATATTATTTTTTACAGGTTAATTAATTACTTCCAAGTTTTCTATAAATATGATGTCATAATGTTAAATTATATATAAAAAATTATTTTAATTATTATTTTTCAAAATTAAAAGAAAAAAAAAAACTTCATAGCATTCTGATTAACGAACTAAAAGGGAAGAAGTCTTTACTACCTTTAACCATAGAGGTAAGATCATGTATTGTGGCATTTGTTAGAGTTAATTGTTACGGAGTACATTTCATTGCTATTATTTCTCTTTCTTTTTTTTTTAAATTATTTTTTTTAATTTTAAAAAATATTAATTAAAATAATTTTTTTTATATATAATTTGATATTATGACATCATATTTATAGGAAACTTGGAAGCTAGTAACCTGCAAAAAAATGATATTTGTACAATTTTTGAATGTTTAATGGTCTAATTGCACACTTTCTTTGTTTGGTGGTTCAATTGCACAATGTGTAAAAATTCAGTGACCTATTTGACACTTTGTTATTGATAATTTATTAGTTGTTGCATAATGTATAAGTATTTGAGAGCATATATATATATATATATATATATATATATATATATATATATGTGTGTGTGTGTGTGTGTTAGTTGAGACACATTTCATGATTTATTTTTTCTATCGATGTTCAAGGAGGAGCGTTGATAGTTGATGAAAATAGTGCAATCTAGTCTTTGATTCAAGTGGGAAACAGAGAATTGAATGGCAGGCCAGTCATGGTTGAAGTTTTTGTACCAAAAAAGCAGTTACAGAAGCACTTTTGTACATGTATAAATGTATTGTATGTGTATGCTTTGACTTGCATTACAATATTGTATTTATCTTCAACGTTGACAACAGTACATGCAAGTTGCAGTGTTTGGTCGTCAACAGTACATGATGAGTTTAATTGGAACACGTATTTATTAAAAGTAGTTGTGGTGAGATTAGAGAGCTTAAAACTGCATGCTCCAATCACAATAACGAATTTTTACTATACACGACTTTCAATTGAAAATTTTATATATTCTTTGTAATTTGATTAATGAGCTAATCTGCTAAACCAATCATTTCATTTGTCTTTTTGAGGGTGGTAGGATTAAGTTTAACCGCTCCTAAATTAAATGCACTATAAACAGCAAACCAGAATAATAAAATTAATAAAAGCACATTAATAAAATGAATTCCTGAGTTCGAGAAACACAAACCACTCAGATCTCTGGTGGACTAATAAATTAAGTCATTTTTCCAAAAGGCTGAACCCCAACCCTAAGGGTCCCCACACCCCGACCCGACAAAGTATTTGGGATGATGTAAATCAGGCCCCCACACTCCGACCTGACAGAGCATTTGGGAGGATGTAAATCATGGTAACTCAACTGAACATAAACCACAGAGACTAGACCTGTGGTAACTCAACTCAACTGAACATAAACCACAGAGCTCACTGCGCACAAGGAAACCCACCTGGTAAAATCCTAACTGGTTTCTGACTCAATGCCGGTGCGCACAAAAAATCTGCCCACTTTGGACATAATTCCCACACTGCCAGACCTGTGCTAACTCAACTCAACTGAACATAAACCACAGAGCTCACTGCGCACAAGGAAACCCACCTGGTAAAATCCTAACTGGTTTCTAACTCAATGCCGGTGCGCACAAAAAATCTGCCCACTTTGGACATAATTCCCACACTGCCGCCGCCGAGATTCAAACCTTGATCTCTTACCCCAAATACTGCCCAATAAACCATTGAGCTAAGCCCGTGCGAGTTCACTAACAAATTCTTGTTTGAATAAAACTCCAACCACTTCTATGTCTTCAAGCATAATTAATTTGAGACCTCGGACATAATTAATATGATGATGTATCTATTAATGTAGACCATAAATAAATACTAACTTAAACTTAAAATTAATTTGACAAATATGTTACCAAGAAATACTCTACACAACATATATTATTTTTTCACTTACAAACAGATTAGAGAAAGTGTGCGGAAATTAAAAAATAATAATAATAATAATAATAACCAACAAAACTAATTAATTTACCCAACATTTTTATTGTAGTTCAAATTAAATATGCATGATTACATATACTACAATATATTCAGCTAGCATAGCTATATAACATACCACATATATAACTCACAACAAATTTAACGACACCCATATATGCATGCATGCACACGTATAAATGAAACCAATTACATAAACATATTTGATAATAATTAGTAGGAGATTATATATATATTATAATTAAGCATAGCTGCAAATCCCATACACACACGAGTCTCCTTTATTGCACCTATTGTTGCACTTGCCACAATGCCTCCTATCAACATTTGGGTTCACACAATCCCCATGGCAGCATATTTCTGAGAACTTGCATTTCCTCCCACATTTCCCACAGTTCACTCTGTCGCTCATCACGTTTACGCACTGTTTTTTGCAGCAATCAGGGCGGCGGCCTCCGGCACGGCAGACCCTAGGGTACTTGTCGCACGTGTATGCCAGCCGAGGGTTGTTTCCCCGGCCGGGAGGGTTATAGGCGTCCGGTAATGATTCTTGATTGGACGGTGAAGCGAGAAGTAGAATGGTTAAAGCGAATAAGAAAGTTGAAATTGCGATGAACTTTGGCGAGTTCATCTTGTGTTGAATGGGAAAGAGGTGGAACAGTTAATTTGATAATAAAAAGAATTTTAGAGTAGATTTTTCGTAAGAGCTATCTATTAGTCTGATTGATTTAAACAATCAGACTGATTTACCTAGCTAGATATGATGAGTAGAGTTTAAGTTGCGAATTGAAGTGGATGGAATGGTGGGAAGGAGGAGAGGTATTTATGGTGAAAAAATATGGAGTTTCTTAGGAGGAAGAAATGTAGTCATTGGTGGTTACGTGAACTTATGTTTAAGAAATAATGGTAGTTTGTGGAGGATTAATGAACAATTTTGCAGGACTGAAATTCTCAAGTATAATTATTAGGCAAGACTGCAAGAGGATATGAATTTAGATTTTTTGACAAATTGTGGAATTATTTGTGCCAATTTATGTCCATATGCATGCCATTCAAATTAAATAGGACTTGTTATCTTGTTTCACTTCTTGGAAACTTCATTGTTAGTTGTTTTCTCAAAAGTGAGTTTTCTAGTCGGTAAGATGTTATTTGATCACATGTTATTACTCCTGTCTTAATGATTATATTGATGAAACAGGTAAATCATGAGATGTATCTTGTACACTAATGACCATAACAATGTCAAATCCTATGCAAATCACCGTAAAATCAGATGTGTCTTGTACACTAATACACATAACCATGCCAAATATATACCTCTTTTTTGCTTATGCCTTGGAGGCTGGGAGATAAGGTAACTCCTTGGATGTCTCGCATATATTTTCAAATATATATATATATATATATATATATATATTCATAGTTTAGATTTTTGTTTATGATTGATAGTATTGTTTTGACTTTTTGAGGTTAAGTAAAACAAAGTATTGAATAATGGGGACTGAGTTTAATTTCAAAGGTAGATGCGTGTCAAGGAAAGGCCGGCTTTTTTCAGTTAGAGTTGCACTTCACAGCACATTTTTGGAATACGTACTATTCTTGCTTGATTGCTTTCAAGATCAGCCTTCTGTTTAAAATTAATTAAATTCCCCGTGAGTCTAATTCTTGTCACCATTATTTCGATCACGTGTATCATACATAATTTTCTTGGTATAGTTTATCTCGTGTATGTAGTTTGCGTGCTATTACATAGGAGAAGATAATATGGCGATATTCTTTATAAATGTTAATTAATGAAGTGTCTCTTGGCATTCTTGCAATGTTCTTAGTACTACACTCCATGTCGAGTTGAGTCCTTGAAGATGGGTCAATGTACCTTTTAAGTAGATTCTCGTGAGCTGGTATTTAAATTTTAAAAATTTACAAATTGTATACTACGAATATACAATATTAATTTATATGTAATTAATTACTTTGTTTTGTATTCGCAAGTTACTTTTAAATATTGCACTCACGCAATATTAACATATTAGGATTTGATGACCCTGTATTGTTTCTATAAATTCTCTTCTACAGTTGTTATGTGTTTTGACTTAGAAACACAATTTATATTCTAGAAGTTCACAATTATATTCCAATACTAAAAAATATACAATTTATATGTCGTTTATGATCAGGATCCACCTTGCAAAGTGGACTCTGGTCCATGGTATAACAACTCTATGGACTAGTGGACTACCATTGGGACTAAAGCAACTAGAGTGAGTTGTGAACTTGTGATGACCTATTTGGGTTTGTCTAGCTAGATCCATTATCCCATTAGATTTTAGACCAAACTTATTTATATTTATTATTTAGAAATTTTTATCTTAATCAAACAAAGATATATGAATTGGGTTTAATCATATCGTTTATAATCTATTGATATATAAATTGTGTTTTTTTTTTTTTTTTTTTTTTTTTTTTTTACAAAGGAAGGGGGACACCCACGTATACTCAATAAATTGTGTGTGTGTGTGTGTTTTTTTTTTTAATTATAAAAGAAGGGGGACACCCACATATACACAATATTCGCCTATACTAAACCTCTCACATAAAAGACCAAATCAAATACCAATAGCCAACAAGCCACTTGGTATAAATTGAGATTAATTGACATAAAGTTTTAAAAATAAATAATATATATTACTCCATATGTTCTTTATTTTATATGGTTCACATACATGAACCTTATTTCTTAGGGAAGCAATATAATGTGTCATATAATAAGCAAATTGCTTAATGCAAAATCAAATAATCATTTTCCATTTCATATAGATGTTTATAAGCAAGTTCAAGACTTCAAGTCGAATAGCTCCCTGCAGAGTTTTCTATTTGCCTCTTTGATTTGGTGGTTATTTGTTAATTAAGATTAGAATTTTTTGCATTTTTAGTCCCACGACTATAGTGGCACTGGCAGAATTGATCCACGACTTTTGAACATTGCAATTTTAGTCCACGACTATTGATTTTTTTGTAAAAATGGTCCTTCCGGCCACTTTTCCGTCAAAATTTCACCGGAAAAAAAAAATTCTCCATTTTTAGCCGGGTTAAAATTGACATTTTACTTATCTCAAAAACTTAAAAGAAAAAAATTGATATTTGACTACATACAATATTACTGGGCTACATACTACTGCCCCAGGCGGCGGAGTTCCTGGAGCAGGCAGGGCTGTCAGTAAGTGGCGGAGCGGCCGTGGCGTTCCCCGGGCTCCGGCAGCAGCATTGGAGTGGTACATGTACTCTGCCGTCTGGGGCAGTAGTATGTAGCCCAGTAATATTGTATGTAGTCAAATATCAATTTTTTTCTTTTAATTTTTTGAGATAAGTAAAATGTCAATTTTAACCCGACTAAAAATAGAGAATTTTTTTTTTCCGGTGAAATTTTGACGGAAAAGTGGCCGGAAGGACCATTTTTGCAAAAAAATCAATAGTCGTGGACTAAAATTGCAAGGTTCAAAAGTCGTGGATCAATCTTGCCAGTGTCACTATAGTCGTGGGACTAAAAGTGCAAAAAACTCATTAAGATTACAAAATGTGTTTTATCTGATCTATAGCACATATTCGAGTAACAAATGCAGTCTTCCATTAAAAAAGAGAATGTTTATAAGGACGTGGGAATATTAAATCCACATGGCTTGCGTGACAAACGACCATGAATCATGCAAGATGATGAAGATTGGAATAAAATCTTAATTAATTGGTACCATAATAATAAAAGCCATTAAAAGACATATACCAGTTGGCCTAGCCTATTGCCCCAGGCCAACCTGCAAGTTTTGACAAGCAAAGCACATATTCCATCTGACACTCAAAATCTATAACTCCATTTCTGCAACTATATTCCTAATTAAGCTAGCTTCAATTCGATCATATCCGACCAGACATCATCATTCTATGACTGGGATTTATCCCATAATTGTCGGTTTGTTCTGCAGTTTGCTCCTCTCTGCAAATGCCCACTCTTCTTCTTCTACCTCCAACCATCTCACAAACCAGCCTCATCATCACCTTCAACACTATGAAGCTCTTGCAACTCCCCTGAAATCTTGGACCAAATCCAAACACTCCCGCCATCCACATCTTCATCTCAAATTTGTAAGAGCACTATTACCCTCTCTGTCCTATTTTACCTGTCTTACAGACCAAGCAACCCGCCAAAGAGCTGGCCTAAGAGATAACCTACGGGCCCGTCCTATTTTATCTGTTTTACAGATGGGGCAGGACAACCCGTCAAAGAGCGGGCCTCAGGGGCAACCTGCGGGCCCGTCCAATTTTACATGTCTTACAAATGGGGCAGGGCAACCCGTCAAAGAGCGGGCCTCAGGGGCAATCCTCGGGCCCGTACAGGTCTCCATTTCCAATATTGTTCTTTCATTATTCCTTAAGTGTGTAAGTGATTGCATGTAGGTTCATGGTGTTGTGAACATCATCGGATGGGGAATTCTGGTGCCCGCGGGGGCAATAAGCGCAAGGTATTACAGGAAACTGCGGCTGAGATGTGAGGAATGTTACTCTCTACACACAGTATCCCAAGTGTCAGGGTTCATTGTGGGCACTGTAGGGTGGGGGCTAGGGATCTCTTTGAGGAATTCTGCAGCCAAACAGCACCCTATGACCACCCATGGAATTCTTGGCACTATACTACTCTCATTCTCCACATTACAAGTAATGTGTATATAATTTAAGGAGTAATAAATATGTGTTCTTCCATCAAAAAATGAATATATAATTAATGAGATTCATATATGTTATGAGTGTAGGTGTTGGGTGTGTGGTTGCAACCACATGATGAAGAAGAAAATAGATACAGAAAATATTGGGTGATATATCATAATGTTTTGGGGTATGCACTCATCATTCTCATAATAGCAAATATATTCCAAGGAATAGACAATCATCAGATCAGCCATGGCAGCAGATGGAAATGGTGTTATGCTGTTATTCTGGGAGTTTTCGCCTTTACTGCCCTTGTTTTGGAACTTTTTAGCTGCTGCCTTAAATTTTAAATTCATTCAAATGCAATGTTCAAATAATATAATGTTCATAAATAATTTTTTTCGTGACTCGACAGGACTAGTTTATAACTGATTGTAATTTTATACATCAGTTTAAGATTCAATGTCCCCATTGAAATATATAGCTGGTTTAATCTTGTGACATTCCGTCAATGAGAATCACATATGTGTCAATTGAACATAATATGCTAAGAGCTACTTTTATAAATTACTGTGTGTTATAATCAACACTAAATATAATTTTCATGAAATAATTTCCTGGTATATTAATAAAAGAATGTGCAAGTTATATTATGCATACTAAAAATATTTAATATATTTGTGTAAGGAGCATGAGATAATTAAAAAAAGAATGATTATTTAACAAAAAAAATTAAAATTAAAATCACGATGATGAAGAAGAGCACCCGCAGTAGCAGGTGGAGCGAAGATTTTCTTGCAATCGGAGAAGTTTGATTCTGCTGTTGGAATCAGGGATGGCTGCTTCAGCGATGGACGGCGTAGCAGCGGCGGCGCTTAGATCGGTGCTGCAGCGTGTGCAGCTGGCAGCCGAGCGCTGCGGCCGCCGGTCAGACCGGGTTCGCATCGTCGCCGTGAGCAAGACGAAGCCAGTACCTATTATCCGCCAAGTTTACGACGCCGGCCACCGCTGCTTCGGCGAAAATTACGTGCAAGAACTCGTCGAGAAAGCTCCTCAGGTTTCCTTCTCTCTGAATGCCTCTGAATTTTGAAGGTCTCTCTTCTTAAATCTGCCAATTTTTTTCCTGTTTGATAATCCGAATTGGATTATTGAAGTGTTAATCTATGAGAAATTAGTAATTCCGGAAAATAAAATCTGCAGATTTCTTGTTTGCTACCGCAGATTAAATGAGAAAATAATCATTTCCCCCAAATTCTTATGTCTTTTTACCAGATTTTCGGAATTGAATTGCCTCAGTGTTGTGTGTCCATAGAACTGCATTTGTATGTTTGTTTGAATTTCAAAATTTGGGCATATTGCAGCTTCCAGATGATATAGAGTGGCATTTCATTGGGAATTTACAGAGAAATAAAGTTAAGCCTCTCCTCAGTATGTTTTCTATCCCTAAACTCTCCACACTCTTTCTTCCCAAGCAAAAAAAAAAAAAATTACTTTTGCTTTGCAGATGCTATGTTTACTTCTTTTCTTAGTTATTTATCTATATTAATTGGGGATGAGTTTTAGAAGGTGTATACTGAGTTACTGACTGTAAAAATGTCTTTGATACGGTGTGACTTCTGCAACTATTCAGCTGCTGTTCCAAATCTCTCCATGGTGGAGAGCGTCGATGATGAGAAGGTAAATAAACGACGCCACTATGAATTATCTCTAGGGGGACAATTGCACATTAATGGTTATATGCTCATATCTCTAGCGGGGCAATTGCACATTAATGGTTATATGCTTCAATACGCCCCTGATACCAAATTGAAGCTCCATCTCAACTAAAAGCCTAAGCTGATAGTTAGATTGCACATGAATGGTTATATGCTCAACAAAGCTATAGAAGTTCACCTGTTGCCAACATTTTGTAATGTCCAGATAGCGAATCAGCTCGACCGTGTGGTTGGAAACGTTGGAAGAAAACCTTTGAAGGTTTTGGTTCAAGTGAATACAAGCGGAGAAGAAAGTGGGTAAAATGGCGAATGGTCCTTGATTTTGTAGGGTCACTCTCTTCCTTCGTATATGTAAAATGTTTACGTATACAAGAATGGATCTCAATAACACTTTTCGGCTTTTAATTTCCACCTGCTGCAGCTAAATCTGGCGTTGAACCAGATGGGTGTGTGAGGCTCGTCAAACATGTAACCTCGAGCTGCCCCAACCTCGAATTCCATGGCCTGATGACAATCGGAATGCCTGACTACACTTCCACCCCCGAGAATTTTAAGGTAGCGGTTTAACATGTTCTTTGTCACGCCCATTATTGCTGTTAACTTCTCCTCCACTTTATCCACTATAAATAGCCAAAACTCTTAGTCTGTTGCTTTCAGACGTTAGCGAAATGCAGAAGCGAGGTATGCAAGGCTCTTGGAATATCCGAAGAACAATGTGAGCTCTCAATGGGCATGTCTGGTGACTTTGAACTTGCAGTGAGTAAACTTTCCATGAGCCTTAATTTACCATTGTATATATAGATTATGATGTGGATATATACACATTCCAATTACTTCTTGCACAAGAAACCGAATCGTAATAATTGGTTGCTGCAGATTGAAATGGGCAGTACAAATGTTAGAATTGGATCAACTATATTTGGACCAAGGGAATACCATAAGAAGCAATCAAACTAGCTACTATCCAACATAGTACCCAAAGCGATAGTCCCCCCCCCCCCCGGCTACTTGACCGAGCTGGATAGAAAGAATCTCAAATCTGTGTCACTAGACTACAAGATTTTTGACAAATGCATTTATAGATTTCAAGTAATCAAAACAGTTTCGCACTTTATTTTTTTCTGTTTCCTCTTTCTTTTATAGATTTCATTTTTCATTTTGGTTGGTGTGGCTAATGTGGTTAACCAACTCCTAGCACCCCTCCATGGAGATTGTTTTCAGATCATTGTAGCAAAATAATATAAGAATGTTACAATGTGAATTCAAGCATCATCTAATGAGAATTGTATCGAACAATATTAAGTACCATCCCCGGGTCAATTTGACCAACACTATCTGCCCACATGATCTGCGGCAATCATTATTGTGTGGACCACAGTCCAAAACGACACAAAATACATTATTCTGAAGCACAAAGTACATTTATTTCAACTCATAAAATATATTTTTATAACTCATAAAGTATATTATCTAATCTTATCCTAGAAAGTTCATTATTCTAACACATAAGAGGTTGCAACAAACGTCGTTATTGACCAACAAATTTTTTTTTTTTTAACGCCAAAACAAATCATTTTGAGGGCATAATAAATAACAAAAAGTATAATAATAATTTTTTTAACGCCAAAACGATGTCGTTTTGAGAGCATAATAAAGAACAAAAAGTATAATAACAATCTGAACCAAATAATTTTTAAATTTTTTAATAAATTAAAAATACTGAAGAAATGTAGCATATTTTCCCGCCAAATTTCTAATTAATAAATTATTAAATAAGGTATTTTAATAATTTCTATCATAATATCTTCAACTAATATCACTTACCTTACTTTTTCCTTTTAATGTATTTAATTTAATTTAATAATTTAAGGGTGGTTTGATGGGAATTGAATATGCTAATCATTGATTTTACACATATATACAATAAAATGTGATTTTTTTAATTAAAAAAATCCAAATAAAAGGGAGGTTTTATATTGTTAATTATTAAAAAAGAAAAAAGGAAAAAGTAAAGGGAATACCGAATTAGCAGCAAGAGGTTATAGTCACAGTTTTGAGTGCATCCTGAAAACCCTCAGAAGCAAAGAGAGAAATTTTTGGGTGATGAGATGAGATCGGAGATGAATTCACAGCACAAACATGGAAGGAGCAACGGAGGAACATGTAGCCCGAAGACGATGAGGGTGGTTATGGTGATGATCGGCGTCTGCATTGCCGGTTACGTCATCGGACCGCCGCTCTATTGGTTCCTCTCCGACACCTTCACCGCCGCCGCCACCTCCTCCTCTTATTCTTCTTCCTCTTGCCCTCCTTGTCACTGCGATTGCTCTCTTCAACCCCTCCTTTCCCACCCTAACGGTACGTACGTTCTTCAATTCTCTTTTCATTCCACCCTATTACGAATTTACGATTACATTTAGAGGTGACGAATGTGTAAATTTGATTCAGTTATCGTCAACCTAAATTGGAGCTCGTAGTTTCGGTGAATAATGTATGTAGAGGTGAGGAATGCTGTCAAGTTAAATTGAAGCTATTCAAACATCTCCAGGAGCTCAAAACTTAATCAACCCTTTCTGTTTTTCTAATCTTTCATATATAATATTATATTATAAATTTAGCTAACATCTTTATATATTCGTATTTATGTTATTATATAAATAACTATAATGAGATATAGAACTTGAATTTATCATACTCGAGCTTGAATTGAATGATCAAATTTCTTGAACAGAGTTTCGAGTTTTAACTAGTTAGCTACCATACATATTGGTTGAGTTGTATATTTATGTACAATACAATGATTGACTTGATTTTCATGTTGTACTGCAGGACTAAATGTCACTCCTTTCATCGGTAAGTATAACTCGAAAAGCCTTTTTTTTTTTTTTGGGCGAGTTGAGAGTCGAGTCTGTTATTAACTGAGAAAATGAAAACAGAGAATTGAAATAAACGCAAATTTTTATTTTTTTGGGTAGATTGCATGGAGCATGATCCGGAGCTGAGAGATGGGTCAGAGAGGAATATGACAACTATTTTGGTGGAGGAGCTTGAGCTAAGGGAAAGTGAAGTTCAAGAAATACAGCAGAAAGCAGATGAGGCACTTTTGGAGGCAAAGAAGCTGACTTCCCAGTATCAGAAAGAGGCAGACAAGTGCACTTCCGGGATGGAAACCTGCGAGGAGGCCCGGGAGAAAGCCGAGGCAGCACTGGAGGCGCAAAGACGGGTTACCGCCATGTGGGAGCTTCGGGCTCGACAGAAAGGCTGGAAAGACAACCTCATAGCTGCCAGCATTGAAAGTGTCCAAGCTGCTCTTGGTGGAGACACAACCATGTCTCTCAATGATCTGTAGATGTTCTCTTTTTTTCCTTAAAATTCTGTCTGATACATTTGAAAGTAGATTCTAGAATCTATATAGCCATAATAACAACCTCATGTTGATTCCACACAAGAGAAGAAGATGCAGTTCAAATTGTACGAATCGTACGAACGATGTGAGCCTAGCATCAGTCGAGCTAAAATGTCATCGGTTTATCTATGTCAGGGTCACGGGAATCACCTCGTTGGGCTTCGGGAGATGAGAATGCACAGTTGGTTGATATGTAGAGCATGGATGAAATCACGTCGGTGGATCCATGAGAGCAGAGACATCAAACCGAGCCCCCCCTACTTCACTCAGAAGGCGCATTGCTGCTGCTCGGGAGAATTTCCGAGCGAAGAGAAAGCAGGGGACGAGCGTGGAGTTATTACTGCACCACTCTGTTCTGTCCTCGGTTTTGTAGTATACATTGCGGATGGCCTGTTCCAACAATTCGGGAGCGGGTGAATGTGGTTCTAAGTTTGCTGATAGAGTATAACGCAATACGCAAAATTTATTCTTTGTACCTTTATTCTTTTAATTTTTTCGGGTCCTGCATCGGCATAAGTGAATCTCATAGGATGCCAGCCGCCTTTTTCCATATTGTTTGAAGATTGGTTCCATACCGTGTAAGTCACGGTTCTGCGTTCCAGTTCACCTCCGAGTCCATGCATCTATACACGCGATATAAGAATCAGAACAACGTGAACACAAAAACATGACACGATAACAGTTCTATAGTACCAGAAATCGAATCGATATACTACTTACTTCAAGTAATGTCGGCACATAGTGTTCATCGGGGATACAGTTATGCTGCTTTTGAAGGTTCTGCAAGAACTACTCTCCGTTAGGAAATAATTCAAAGGAAGCAGTGTTGCATGTTTCTTCGATGAAAAACACAACATTATAGTTAAAACGCAATGAAAAGTATATGACCCGTAAAACCCACACTTACAAGATTCGGATTCCTCAGACTGGCCTCTATCGGTGGACGCCTCTAAAAGGTGAAAAAAGTTAAAATGTCAGTAATACAACAATATTATGCGCATTAATTGCCATAAAAACCAGAAATGATCACTTCAGAGACACAAAAAAAGAAAAACAGATTAATGCATCATGGACCTTGCAAAACTTCTTGAAAACTGGTAATACAACTTCATCATCTGCAACAACGACCGCATGTTTTCGAATTAAACTGATCCACTGGAATAAAAGCGAGCAAATTAAATTGGTTTGGTATCAGGATGTTAATAATAGTAAATTAATAACTCAAAGAAGATCTAGAAACTTTACTTGTGATCCTTTCCGCCATTTGCTCCTTGGTATATACGGTATCATCCTCGGGTTGTAGCGGCTTTCTTTTTCTTTTTCACTTTCATCCAAAAAACTAAAACAGAAACACAAGGCTTGAATAAAATCCATAATCAAGAATACATAAATCTTCCACGGGTCAAACCGTGAATTTTATCCATTTTACCTGTCCACGAAACTCCTTGGAGAACCCATCAAATATGTGTATACATAGCTGAAGTTGTATAAAGGGACACAGCTGCAAAAATAAAGCGTTATACCTTCAGGAGATTGTCTTCCTTCAAAGAATTCACAGATAGTATACCGGGCAACAAAACCACAAAAAAGAAATAATAATATATATAAATAACCATAGGTAAAACTAAAAAAGAAAGATAATAGATTCAAAGTAATTACTTTGCACCTTCCAGAAAAGCAACGACCTTTTTAAATTTACTAGGGATGGAAAAATATATAGTACTCGTATCTATAAAAATCCAGTTTGGGTCATTATTCCTATGAACGAGGTTGCAAATCTTTTCTACATTATATATATATATATATTGCACGGGGCATTTGGCATGTTCACATCGTCCTCTCCTTTCACCACCCGTATCTATATATTCACTGAAATATTGTGCACATCATGTAGAAGGGAGCCAAAAACACACCCTCCTAAAGCAGAAGTGAGGAGGTACATTTTCTCGTTCATCAGTTAAAAGAAATATATAGAAATTCACAAATAGCAAGCACATTTTTTCTATTATGTTTTCATTTTGTCAAGTATTTTCTATTCAACGTTTCTCAAAAGCAAAAGCACCAACCTTTCCGATAACAGAACAAATCTTTGATTTGCTGGATCTTCAAGAGCTGCATTAAGTAATAACCTCTCTGCTTCGATCATGCTTGATTCTCCCCAAGCTACCTATACATTCCCTCAACATTAGTCCAAACATAAAACCACAATTTGCACCATTAATGCCATTAACAAGAAGAAGATTCAGAAGCAAATGGCAATTTATAATTCTTTATATCTTAGATATCCACTAAGAAAAACTAAATGATGGCAAAAAGAGATTCTTGCCCACAAAGGCGAAATTCTTTCGCCCCAAGCCCCCACACCCCAGCCCGACAGGATATTCCCTCGCCCCCCAAGCCCCACACTCCGGCCCGGCCAAACAGGATAGGGGGGGTGAAATTCTTAATATGTGCATGTAGTTAGCAACTTAATATTGAGTCTGCTAAAATTCTTTTAACACAGATTCCCAAGTTCAAACTCATCAAAATTGGATCTTTTAACAATTAAACAACCAATAAGCTGAAGAAATTACCTTAATGCTATTTTTCAGCTGCCGGTTGTAAAAGAAAGGGGAACTTGTAGTAGACTTATCAAATGCAAACCCTGGCTCCGAGTGTATATATATAGAGAAATTGGCAGAATCAGCATCCTGCAAACATCAATTTTCTCAGCCAACAAATTTTCTAACCAACCTCGAGTTAACTCCTCGTAATCCAAAAAAAAAATCCTAAAGTTGGAAACTTTCATTATAAACATTAAGAAAACTGAATTCGGCTGACCTGGAAGAAGCTTCTCCAAAGAAAATCCAGAGGCAAATTTCTCCGAGCTAGGAACAGGAAAGCTACCTTGGGATTGCCGGAAAAGTTGTGGTTGGAAGGTTTATAGTTACGGGAAACTGAAAGTATGGTTTCTGGAGCAGGGATGAGGTCGGAATCGGAGAGGGAGTAGCGCTGGAGCCTAAGGAAAGCTAAGATACAGAGAACGAAAGACGCAGCGATCACCAGCTTCCACCCTAACCACAAGGCGTGGCGCACGGATAAGGGCGGCGCCGCCGCCGCCGCTAGCTTCTTCGCCATACTTCGCGAAGCTTCTCCTCTCCTCCCTGTAATTCAAATTTGTGTATGAATTATATATGATTCATATACGTATCAGCGCGTGTATATAAGCTGATACATACATGTATAGTTTTAGAGAGAGAGAGAGAGAGAGAGGATAGATACATTAAGGCGGCGGCGGTGGAAGGGAATGGGAATCAGGTAAGACAGCACAGCAGCATTCAGGGTCTCAGGGAAGTCTCTCCCTCCTCCCCTGTTCACACCCGTGCATTCTTTCTGTTCCCTACGATTGCGATTTGCGAAGCGGTGAGGAGGTCAATACGACGTCGTTTTCTTCGTGATTTTCTGCTATTTTTCCTCGCTGTAAAGTACTCATTTTTTCCCCTTTGATAAGCCATAAAGATTATAACTTTATTTATGAGAAGAAAACTTCCCCGAGGACTCAATTAAGGGACAAAGTGTGGTGTTGGCCAACAAGTTAATTTGTTGGATTGATTTCTTTTATATAAGAGGGATTAAAAATTCTCAATCTATAAGGATGAGAGTATACGTCCACTTATACCAACCAAGCTGTTTATAAATATTATCTTTATAATTTATAATAAATTCTGCAATCACTATTTAAATGTTGTACTCTGAGTAACGACAAAAAATTAACTGAATGACTTAAACCAAGAACCATGACAACCTAATTAAATTAGTCAGAATATAGCAATTATTACTTTGTTAGTTCAGAGCCTTTGTTTTTTTTTTTTTTTAATCTTTATAATCTCGTCTTACTCATTATAATTCTTTACCTTTTAAAGCCAAAATGCGAACTTCACTGACTTTTTTTGTTGAGAAAATATTATCTAGTTATCTGTGGTTTTCTAATTTTAGGATAGTTTTGCGTTTATATGATGGTTTTCTAATTTTAGGATAGTTTTGCGTAGTTATTTATGTTTGTGTTTTATAATTTTAGGATTGTTAGGCGGCGGGCGGTGCAAGCGACGGGGACGTGGCAGGACCAAAGCCGAGTTGTAAAGGAATGGAAACACGCATCTGACAGACCAGCAATGGACGGCGACGTCGCGCCGCGATTTTCTATGTCAGATCTGGTAATCTGGTACATGTTGTCCACCAAACAAAACACGCACATTAACATTAATTATTGCATTACAATTAGTCAAAATGGAAGGTAACCGTAAAACGTTTAAGATACATTTTACAATTTTATCTCTTCTGTAATAAGGTTTTAGACAGCGACAAGTGGGACCCAGATGGGAGAATAATGTTTTTTTTTTTTTTAAATCAACTATTGTTGAACCACCTTGACCTTCTTGGGGGCTTCCACAACAACGTTCAAGATTTTGCCAGGGACATATATTCTTTTCCTTACATTAATCCCATCAAGAAACTTGCACAGTTTTGCATCAACTGAAGCTAACCTAAAAGCATCCTCTTCTGTGCATCCTTCTTCCACCTCTATGGTTCCCCTCGTCTTCCCGTTGATTTGGACGGGGAGAACCACGGTGCTGTCTTTTAAGTAAGCGGGATCCGCCTGAGTAAGGAAGCCCGGGAGGGTGGGTTGGAGTCGAAGATAAAAGATAAACCAGTAATCTTACTATCAGTTTAAACTTTTAGTTGAGACAGAACACATATAAACTCGTACCTTAGGGAAAGGCTGATATGCGAGCGATTTTGCGTGTCCCAAGCGAGACCAGAGCTCCTCAGACATGTGAGGTGCATATGGTGAAAGCAGCAAAACAAATTGTTCTATTATTGAGGTTGGAAGTTTGTCCCACTGAAAGTGTGAAGTGAAAACTTGTTAAGAAACTTTATACAGAAACTCGGGAGAAGAAGGCGTTAATGGTGAAATAGGAAGAGAGACGACGAGACCTTATATGCAGCGTTTATGAACTCCATCATTGCAGAAATGCCTGTGTTGAATCGCGTTCCTTCAATTTCTTCGGTTACCTGCAAAAACCAATTCACCAGACGAAAAGATATGGTAAAACATCCTAGGAAGAGATTCTGTGTCATCCTCGAGGTTCTCTATGTAATGCCGATAGGGATGCTGTTCTATTGACGGTTCTAAGAAGAATATGTATTTACCTTTTCAATGGTGCGATGGAGACAACGATGTTGTTCTATTGACGGTTTCTCGTCCACAGTTACAGTCCCATCCTGAAACGTACCGTTGGGTAAAGGTGGACCGATTATCAATCTCCAAACTCTTGCCAGAAAACGATGAACACCTTCAATGCCACTGGTACTCCATTGTTTCGAGTCTCTGTTGCAGATGATGAAAGCTGTGCGATAAGTTTTCGCAACAAAAAGGAGATAAGGATGGGGCAAAGAAAGTGAGAGATACCTCAATGGACCCATAAACATTTCATATAAGCGAAGAGAATCTGCACCGTACTCAAAAACAACATCATCTGGGTTTATGACATTTCCCCTACTCTTACTCATCTTGTAAGCTCGGGTAACCAAACGTATACTTGGATCATCTTTTAACACAAATGAATTCCCAGATTTTATGACCTGCATCATCCAAAATTACATGTTTTCTCAGAAATCAACTCTGTTCAAAATGGTATTTGTAAAACTATTGGGCGGTGGCTGATAAAGGCCAAGTCTAGCACCTGGTAGCTGGGGAATTGTTGAGCGGAGGTCGATAAAGGGCTTAAAAGGCTAAGTCCAACACCCAGTGTCTCGAAAATGTGATGGTGGTTTATAAGGAAATAAAGTTGCGCCTTCACTACTAGCTATAGTTTTTGGCTTAATGGTAAGCTATCAGAGCCAGGTCAGGGGTTCTCGAGTCCGAGCAATAACATTTAAGACTGGTTGGTGCTGGGTGGGGGGAATTGTTGGGCGGAGGCCGATAAAGGGCTTAAAATTAGGCCAAGTCCAGCACCCAGCCTCTCGAAAATGTGATGGCAGTCTACAAGGAAATAAAGTTGCGCATTCGCTACTAGCTATAGTTTTTGGCGTAGTGGTAAGCGCTTGATCTAACAAGTGGTATCAGAGCCAGGTCACGGGTTCTCGAGTCCCAACAATAACATTTAAGACTGGTTGGTGCTGGGTAAGGGGAATTGTTGGGCGGAGGCCAATAAAGGTCTTCAAAGGAATCTGTTTAGATTAACAAAAACCGAAGCTAAACAAATTAAGAGCGGGAAGTGAACATACCTTCTCTTCTGGTATTCTTTCTTGATTACACTCTGTCAATTCATCAATCAAGTGCGCTGATATCAAGTTGCCATTCTGATCTTTGTATGCAATATATTGAACCTGTGGCATAATCATGTTTCATTTTGAGATAAACACCTCCATATTAATGATCGAAAACGAAACGTAATGAAACCCTTCCCACAGCAAAGCTATACTTACTTCTCCAAGGATGATTCCCTGATTTATCACACATTTAAACGGCTCTTTTGTCGAAACTACACCAATATCATAGAGAACCTGCAACAATCGACACATTTAAATACCAATATTGCCCTCCAGCTGCTTCTTAAGCCATAAAAAATAATGCCTCGAGTCTCGAGATGCACAAAAAAGAATATTCGATGCTTCATAACTCGTACCTTGTGCCAGAATCGGGCATAAAGTAAATGAAGAACAGCATGTTCTGCCCCACCAACATAAACGTCAACAGGGCTCCAATACCTGCACAAAAGAATACGTTGAAGCTCATGAAGATTTGAAGAACGTAGAAATTGCGATAATAAAACAAAATTAAGCATAAATAAATAGAACCTAAGCAGCGTGCCTAGAGAAAAGACCGACTAACCTTTCTTTTTCCTTGTCAACCAATGCACTGGAATTTCTTGGGTCTATAAATCTTAAATAGTACCTGAAATAAATAGAAAATATATAGCCTTGAAATATACAGATGGTAACTATATCATGTAGATACTATACAGCAAATCACGAAAATGTAGCTTATAGCTTCTAGAAAACCCATTACCAGCAAGAACCAGCCCATTGTGGCATAGTGTTTGTTTCACGTAGGGCGGGCTTTCCAGACAGATGATCTTTAGTTTCAACCTGAAATAAAAGGTATAAGATTGTGTAACTCAAAATTTCTATGCAACTCAGAACTTGCCCGACATATCGACTGGATTAAGAAGCTGACAAGAAGTCTAAACATACCCAAGATCCGGCTTTAGAAAGGGGTGGTTCCCCTGTCCCCGTGGGAGTAAAATCATCGAGCTCAGGAAGGATAAGGGGCAGCTCAGTGTCAGGAACCGGAACACATTCTCCAGTTTCATCCAAAAACATAACAGGAATAGGCTCTCCCCAATAACGTTGTCGGGCAAAAAGCCAGTCTCTCAGCTTGTAATTTACCTGAAATTAGATAAATTGTAAAAATACCTTCCCAATAGAGTCCCCAAAAGTACGAGATTTATATCGCGTAAAAAGTAAGAGCTAGGAAGCACCTGTTTCTTTCCAGACCCACTTTTTTCAAGCCACTCAATGACTCTAGAAGCTGCGGTTTTGCTAGGCAAGCCATTAATGTCGAGCCCTGTCAATGAACTCGATGAATTCATCATTGTTCCTTCACCCGTATAAGCTTTCTCAAGATTTCTGAGAGTATCATCAACGGGCATGATAACCCATGAAATTGGAATATTATACTTCAGTGCAAACTCATGGTCGCGTGTATCATGAGCAGGCACAGCCATTATTGCTCCAGTTCCATAGCTGCAATACAGGTTATAACAGTCAGATTCGGGAAAGGACAATTGAAAATGTGTTCCGTCTCAACTAAAAGCCTACGCTAATAGTTGGACTAAACATGTTTATATATTTTATGCTCAAGGGCCGATTACTTTGGACCATAATCTCTTTTTATCAGGTGACAGGGAGATTCGAACCCATGACCATGTGCATGGGATTGGCACTGATACCAAATTGAATAATGCGTTCTGTCCCAACTAAAAGTTTAAGCTGATAACTGAACCACACATTTATGTTTATATATTGTATGTATGCTCAACAAGGACAAACAAACCTTCCCAAGACGTAGTCAGCAACCCAAATTGGAATAGCTTTCCCATTAGCTGGATTTCTTGCATAGCAACCGGTAAATACTCCTGTTTTTTCCTTTTGAAGCTCAGTCCTCTCAAGGTCACTCTTTCTTGAGGCAAGCTCTGTGTACGCCTCCACCTGTGCTTAAAATAGGTAGCAGCTTAGAAACCCCAAGTCCCGAGAACTGCGAGATTAACAACTTCAGAGGCCAGACAAACATACATTTTGTTTTTCGGATTCTGATACAATTGACGACATTAGAGTATGCTCAGGTGCAAGGACTAAATAGCTGCATGAAAAAAAAAAAAAAAAAAAAAAAAAAAAACTTACCACTAGTGAAGCTGCCAAAAAAAAAAGGAACTAAGGGGGGCATGAAGTAGTAAAAAAGAAAGCAAAAATGCGTACTTTGCCCCAAAAATAGTATCAGGCCGTGTTGTGTATACAGTAATTTTCAAATCTCTATCTCGACCATCACCATCTAAGACACAAAATTCCATCTCCGCTCCCTCCGACCTCCCTATCCAGTTTCTCTGCATTTCCTTAATACTTTCAGGCCAATCAAGGTCATCTAAATCTTCAAGAAGGCGATCGGCATATGCAGTAATTTTCAACATCCATTGCCGCATAGGCTGCTCTGCAATAAACAATGTACTGTAAAATCATGAAAGCATTCAAGAAACAAAAATTAAGGAAATAAAGGGAGAATAAAAAAGCAAAAGCTACTCAGAGGGTTAAAACAACTTAATTGTGTATAACAAAAGCATACCTTTCTAATGACAGGATGCCCTCCACGCTCACTTACTCCATCAATTACCTCTTCATTTGCCAAGACAGTACCGAGGGCAGGACACCAATTTACAGGAACTTCAGCCTAAAATATAGCAAAAAAAAAAAAAAAAAAAACTCTTTTAAGTCCAGTTCTAGGAGAAATTACTACCATTCTAAGAGTACGCCATACCTGATATGCTAGCCCGCGTTTCAATAATTGAATAAATATCCACTGCGTCCATCTATAGTATTCAGGTTCAGTTGTACTAATTTCACGGTCCCAATCATATGAGAAGCCTAATGATTTGAGCTGAAAGGTCATTTTTAGATGTCAGTCAATTAGTTCTTTTTTTTTTTTTCTTTTTTTTTTTATTTATCAACTCACCAAGTTAAATTAGAGGCAAGATACATGAAATAGAAGCAATATCATTGTAGCAAATAAGTCAAATATCAGGCAATATGAGACACTGAGGCAGGTACCTGTAACCGGAAGCGGTTTATATTTCTTATTGTTGTGATTCTTGGGTGTGTGCCTGTCTATCAAACAAAGGCAAGAAAAAAAATATATAAAGATACATTACCAAAACACAGGAATCAAAGTTAATCATGATAAAAAGAATGAAAACAACCTCTATTGCATATTGCTCTGCAGGTAAGCCAAAGGCATCCCATCCCATTGGGTGCAAAACATTGTAACCTTGCATCCGCTTAAATCTAGCAAGGATATCTGTAGCAGTGTATCCAAGAGGATGGCCAACATGTAAACCTGCTCCACTGCAAGAAACGATCAAATGGGAGATCATCATGAGGAAAGTCCTAAAGTTGATTGAAACTGATAAAGGCTAAATCATTAAAATCATATGAACAGCTTATCACCATCTATGGCATTTAGAGGCAAATGCTAGTTGTGAATCCTTAAAGGCTCCACCTTTTCGATTTCTATGTAGCCAGTAGCCACCAGGCACCAGCTTCCCTTGCCACCACCCCCAAATTTTTGGTCAATGTAATACTCGTGGTACAGACTTAGTCGTCACTTATCCATGGATTATTTTTGCCACCAATATATCATTTAATAAAATGACTGATTCGGTCCTTCATATACTAAAATGCCCATTTTAAGCATAACTTAGAGGTTATGATTATGCATATAACTCAAGACTAAGTTGGATATAACTGAACCAAAAGTGAAACTTTACCCTAAAAAAGAAAAAAATCAAGAGTTATAGTAAAGTCATTATCTTTTCTGCTCCCACAGCATCCCCTTCCTGAGAACAGTAGAGTAATTGATTAATGGTATATAGTATGAGAGAAAATAAGAACCTTGGATATGGGAACATGTCGAGAACATAATACTTGGGTTTCGAAGTGTCAATTTCATCGGGGGTCCGGAATGTCTTCTTCTCCTCCCAAAATTTCTGCCACTTGGGCTCGATTTCGTGAAAGGGGTAGGCTCGCCTCACTTGTTGCTCTTCATTTTCCTTCTGCTCATCCTCCACTTTAACGCAGCTTATACCATTGGTTTTGCTGACACAATTGGAGAGCCTGAGGCGGAGGAAGGAGAATGAGCGACGGCGGAGAAGAGGCCTGAAGTGGGTGGAGATAAGCAACTCACGGCGGCAAAACGGAGGCTGAGAAAAGGGCTGTTGAAGCAAGCGGAGGCGCGAGTGAATCTCGAATTGGGTGTTCATTGTGCTTTGGAAGGGAGAAGTGAGGCGTGGCTGAGTGGTGGTGGACAGTGTTCGATGATGAAGATGGAGATAACGTAGCCTGCGACTTGGCGGTAAGTTTGGGCGGATAATCTGAGGGACAAAATCGTCTTTTGATCCTTTTTAGACTAAATGTTGGATTAAATTTTTCGGGTCAAATTTAATTGTCAATTTGATCGGAGTGACTAAAATTAACAAAAATTACATAGTCAATGCACTAAATTGACACTTTTAAAAGTCAGATGTTGAAATTAACAATGTCCATAGTCATGTGATCAAAATTGAAATTTTCTCTTTGCAATTAGTCTTCGCAAGAATATCATGTACAACAAAAATAGGCGTTAATTTTAAGTAACTTAGACTAGTTTACTTCAATTCACCTATAATCCTCTCAAATCAAATGTAACAAATTCAAAATTATCAACATTTTAGGTTCAGTGACCTAATTGCATTATCGTGTGCAGTTCAATGACCTATTTGACCCCTACTATCTTAGAATATCAAATTTTAATATGTTGGGGGGTATTTGTTATGGGTGTAAGTGTACATACAACTACACATGGGATGTTTGGAACCAAATCATTAGACTGAAGGAATAAGAGAGATGAAATTACAGAAATATCTAACACTTCAAATTGAATCTTCCTCCTGAAAACACCACACATATCTAACACACTGAACCTCAACATTTTGCCTTAACCTACAGATTTCCCAATGCCCCTTCATGGAATATGGTATGGGAGTCCTATACAAAGGTGGCTTTCAGCTGCCATGGCAGATGATAATTTACACTGTATTTTCATCAAGCTCCTAAAGAACTAGTAAACCATCAGGGTTCTTTCTCCAAAATCACGTCTGGTGAGGAGCCGCCGCTGACTTTGCTTGGAGCCGGTGTGTTCCTCCGGGACTGGCGTTTCGTGGGGACCAATATGCCCTCCATCTCCAGCTTTTCACTCATCTCATCGTCCTCATCATCGTCGCCTTCTTTGAAAACCGGGTGCACATAAGCATCTTGCAGGTAGGCTTTCAGGTTCAGAGTAGGCTCTCTTGCTCTTTCCAGAGTATCTTTCATCTTTGCTTCCTGAAATCCAAAACGATATCTGTCAGCTATAGCTGATAGCGTTGGCGAAATTTTATTTCCTTATACTTGCATAACAGTCGAGCGGGAGAATGCTAAGACTTGACCCCCGGCCACTAGGCTAACCCGAGCTTAGAATAGTACCTGTAGTGGATATTTGGTAAATGCTGGCTCATATCGGCCTTTGCAGAACAAATGAAACGAGATGGTTAGTACAGGAAGAGCGATCAGGAATGGCGCTGATGTAGCAGCGTGCTTCGTGCTCAGCAATCCCAATGTCGAGATTTGAGAGAAGACCAATGCAAATATTATGCGCCCGTGGACCGCTGGCCAGAACGCTGCAGCACTTTCGTACTCTTGGTTGTACACGTTAATGATCTGTCAGACGAATCGGGGAAATGGTTCAGTTAATGGACAGAACATTTAAAGACAGACCATCTGTACTGTCAAAAACGACTGCACACCCTCAGATAGTGACTGCAGGTTTCTCTCGTCATATAAAAAAACGACTCCTCTAAAACATTGTCAATTGTCACCAAGGTTGTAACAACAAACCGAGTAACTTAGGAACCAGGAAATGAAATACCTGATGTCGATATACAAGGAAGGCGAAACCAAAGAACACGATTATGAAAGGAATAAGAATTGGCGTGACGACAGCATAGACAAGGCCCAACAAGAAGTACAACTGGATTTGGGGCTCGCCCGTGTTAAAACCGATGCTTCCAGCATCCATTGCCTCCTCCCGGTCCTTTTCGGTTTTCACCAGGAAAAAGTTCTTGAGATGGTAGATTATAAGTGGTTTCAGCCTCAAAATCTCCCCAGCAGTTCCCGACCATCCATCGACCATTATATAGGTTATGAAGAAAGTGGCTTTCATCGGGATAGCAGTACCAATAGTTTTCGGGATACTGCAAAACGGGTAACAGACGCTAAGCATTCATTTGAAAGTATCATTTGAAAAAATCAATACTTGGACCGAACAAAGGAATAACATACCTGTCTGCTGACGAATGGAGGAAAGTGTTCAACTGTTCGAAGGCAGCTCCCGCAATTATGCTGGCAAAGAAGACGTTCACGAAGTTGAAAATATAATATCGGGAAGCTGCTCTTCGCTCCAACGATGATAGACTCAGAAAGCCTTCAAATTTGGACATCAGCATCAATATAGAAGGCAGCACAATGAGAAAAATCTTCAACGCAAGACCGGGCAGAAAGCCTTGAATGAACGCTTTGATGAATTTTCTGCATGGTAACGGGAATTATTTCGATAACTCCTCTTTTATATACCATCTACAAGTGCAAAAAAAATTTAACAATGAAGTATGATCTCATCTAGAAGTGTCACCACTTACTTCTCGATAATAGGCTTCAAAAATCGTGCCCTTTTCTCGATACCTTCAATGCTAGCGAGACCTTGGACAGATGCAACAGGAATCATGAAAAAGAAAGTGAGGAAAAAGAAGGCAACAGCAATTATGAGCCTCCTAATCGTCAGCGAGACATATGGAATTGCCAGATTGTCCCAGTACACATCACGGGGCTCTGGGGCCCACTCTGTCAACCACAAAGTCGGGTTTCTGGACTGTTGTGTTTGTGCAGCAACTGCAGCAGACCATCGAGATTTGAAGGAGACAAACGATGCAGGCATGAGAGCTTTGGGGTCGTTTTTTACCCTTTCTTTCTCTTCAGCAATCTACAAGTGCGGAAAGAAAGACTTAGAATAATGTTGAATTTGGAAGATGGAATAGCCTGGCGGGTGGAGAATAATACCACCCGCCAGTTAGGTGGAAGCAATATGAAGAATCAAGGACTAGGAAATGTATATAAGACTGAAATTATATTAGTATTCTCTGTTTCTAATACAGAAACACAGTACATATATATACACAAATACATAACTGTAAATACCTATTCATAAACAGACACAACCCTATAGATAAAACTAACTCTTTATTTTCAACAGCAACGTGGTCTGGGAAATCGATCTAAAGCATTAGTACTTACTTCTTTCGATAATCTCTCAATCTCAGCTGTTTGGTGGTCTATAGCATCCACTCTATTTCCACAGAGGCCGAGACAACCAGTCTGCAAGTTCGAGATGGAATGCAATGGAAGGAGTCAGTCAAACAAGATTTGAAAGTAAAGAGCATCGAAGAATGACAATAAAACAACTTATAAGGTCAAGTAACCCAACGATACCTTCATCGTAGGGCGTTTCGACATATCGCCCCCCCTAGAATACTTTAACTGGTAATAATCAAGCCAATTCTGCTTACTCTCCTTCTGCTTCACCAATTTCGCAAGTTTGTTTGCATTGCATACAACCTGCACGAGTCTCGTAATATAAGAAAAACGGTGAAAGATACTAAATCAAAAGGCTTTGAGCTTTTGTTCGGATCAAACCTGATTCGTTAGATAATCTTGATGGTTAACAAGGAAAAAATGCTCCACACTTTCACTGTACGATTCATCAGGATCTGGAGGGACATTCCTAACAAGGACCTGCAAACAATAGAACGACGGGTAAACAAGTTATGCATATAAGAGTTCGGGATATCAAAGGGTAGACATAATAATGCATGCGAAAGTCACAATAACAATGCCAGAATCCAAAACTGGACTCGGGGACAAGGGAATCCTAAGTATGAAAAGGTTTTATAACAAAAAGAAAAGAGAGAGAATATCAAAATACTATGGAGTACATATTCGGGATTTTCCAATACTTTCATGTCAAAACTTCCCGAATCAAAGTTCAGCAAGGAATTCGCATCTTACTGTATATTGATCAGGTCGCCGCTTTTCTGAAGCAAGAAAGTGAAGACGCATATCAGCAACTTTTGCATACTCGGTGCGCAAAACATAGCATGTCCAAAACGTAAAAGCGTAGGCCATCACAATATGAGCCCAAAACCTGCATAAAAACCGTATGTTCTAATCAGATCGTGAAGCTATTAAGTTAACGAAACTGGAAACACGTATTTTTAGTGCTGGATAACTTCAATGCTCGAAGAAAAGATTCAAACCTGGGAGAGCCTTGTGGAATATTGGAAATCGAAAGCTTATCAATGTTGCTATAGGTCAAGTTAGAGTCTTTCAAGGTGCTATTGGTCCAGTTAACGGGAACAAGGACAGCCCACGACAGCAATGCTATAGGAACGAAGATTTTCAGCCTGCACATATCAAAACCCAGAAATTGGCAATAAATAACGAGTTATCAGAACTCGGAACAATTCAGAAACGCAATTAGAAGTGACACAGGCATACCCGAGTAAGTAGATCCTCAAATATACAGCGGAGTCAAGTCCAGCGTGATCAATGAGCTCAGGTTCCGGCATTTTCAGTGCTTCGGGCATCCAGTTCAGAAACCTCACGTACGATCTCCAATCCAAATTAACAATCCTCTTCACAAATGCCCCAGATTGTGACGGGCTACTTCTCAAACCTTTAAGATACCATTTCGGGAAATACACTCTGTCATTGAATGGCTGAAGCCGTAGAATTGCAAACGCCACTAGGAAGATAAATGCAGTGAGAATATTAATAGCGGCCGCAACCCCCATATCACCCAATGTCGCCATCTAGCACCTGAATAATAAAGATAGAAACTTTGTGTTATGGCATATCATTTTACAGTATAATATACCAAATCATGTTCTGAGATACACCATCATATTAACATTAATGCTGCAACTAATAGGAATTTCCTGTTCAAATTGATACTGAACCAATCCAATCAACAAATTCATGGTTTAAATAAATTACTTGCCTAGATTTGAGATAAAAGGTACTACAAATTAAACCAATTTGCACCATACCACCCAGAAAGTAAAGGATTCCCAGAAACAAATATACACATTCACACAGTAATAATCTGTTTCATGAGCCAAATGCTTAAATCCAAACAGAAAAGACAATCAATTCACTAACAAAAACATACTACAAAAGGAGTTCTCTGCTGAAAAACTGAATCTTTGTCACAGTATTCATAAAGATTGAAGTTTAACCCACAAATTTCACAACTTTGCACCTTCCACAGCAACTGCATAAGGAGAAACACAAAATTAAACAAAAAGGGAGCAAAAGATCATACCTTTTTTTCTCTTTTACTTGGAAATTATTTTTTCTTCTGGGTGCCCAGAAGATTGGCAGGGAGAGGAATACACTCAATTTCCGGACGGTGAGTGTTGGAATCGCTTCAGAGATGAAAGGAAGTCAAGAAGATTCCAGAGGAACATCTGTCTCTTTCCCTCTCATCGCACCCACTTTTACCCAAACCCAGAACACAAAAACCAAATCCCAAATCTAGTACAGTAACATTATTATAACGTAAAGTATAACTACCCGTAGACCGTAGGTTAACATACTCCGTAACAATCGGAAAATGGGGATTTTCTTTGTTGGGAAAAGGGAGCAACTTTTTCAGTGAGGAAGAAGATTGCGAGTCTTGGAAATGAAGTATGGGGTTTTGGGACAAGACAACGTGAATCGTCAAGTTCTAAAAACGTTTTCAGTGGAGGAGTTGAACTGACATTTTTAGTATTCAATGTTAGCGGTTAGTTTTCATTTTTATCTTCTTACATAAATTAATAGTTCGTACACTTCATTTTCGGTGTCGGCAAAGCCACGTGGACTTAGATTTGGTTTAACGGCTACTTTTCTCGCTTGAGACCCTTGAACACGTTTGCCGTGCTGGGGTTTGGTTGTTCCTCGTGGAAACACCTCAGACCGTCGGATTAACAGGGTTAATAAGAGTGACTATATAATTATGATTATGTTTTATTCAGAGTATATATTGCTACATGTTTAGAATCTAATATCGAAATTATGTTTATTTCGTGGTTTAAATTGTTAATATTAGTTTTACTAATTATTTTTTTTTTTAAAGTAAAATTGCAGCAAGGCTGTAGTTGTTGGGATTGTGTGGATAGAGTTGAGCTGTTTTGACAATGTTGTCAGACGCCATAGCCAGCCGGCAAATGAACAGTTTGAAGTTTGACTATTGTTAATGTGATGTTATTATTTGTTGAATCTAATTGTCCTATTTCTTGAATTTAGAGAGCTAATTAATTCAGGATTAATAATATTATAATAAATGATTCTGTATATTTATTATATTGCTGTAATAAAATTGTATTGTATTTTGTAGTAAAAGTCGACACTACAATCAAATTTTTAAAAATAAAATATAATCTCAAGTCAGTGCATAAATAAAAACAATTATACTTTCTTTCGAAAAAAACAATTATACTTTCTTGAATCTCACTTATTCCAATATAATGCAAGCTGCCTTTGGTCAGAAGTTTGAAACAATCAAATAATTATGCCTTATGCTAATTAAATTCTCCTCATTTTTTAAACATGCCAATAACACATCTGTAAATAGAATCATTTTTTTTAAATTCTTTGTTTTGATTAAATGAATTAAATTAATTTGGAAAACGCTTGGCTTTGTTTGGTAATATAGTTAGTTTATCAGCTAATTTAGGTTTATTTGACCATTATTAGCTGTTTGACTTTGTTAAACATTCAATATAAGTATTTGATTAATTAGGTTTTTGTAACAACTTATTGCTCCAACATATTAAAATTCAAAAAACTGATCAAAGTAGCTTTTTCGATAAGCTTTTTAAGAAAGTCATTTTTGTGTATAATTAGCTATCAGCTAACAATTAATATATCAAATATTTTTCTACAATCAACTAATGTTATCTACTGATCAAACCTATTAACCCAATCAGTGAACAAATATTTACCAAACAAGTATTCCCAATAAATGTGTGTAGTGTTTATAATTATATGAATAAATATGGGTGCAGCCCATACATGTTACATGATATATTTAACTTAATATAATCCGGCCATGTGGGACATGAGTATGAATGGTGATGGTGAAATGAAAATGCAAAATGACAAAAACAAGAAAAAGATAATGTCCCCATTGTCCAAAGGAAGAAATGGAGACTCACCATGCAATCATCATTCATGCATGCCTTACAGCCTAATCATACTGCAAAAGGAACTTAATTGGAGCCATGGTGGGAATGGAAAAGCCACCCAGGCCCCATTAGGGCAACGTAAGTAGCCATTCTTTTATTGTAAACAATTGAATCTGATCTTATTATTTATTTGATCATGACATGATTAACAAATGTTGTCCCAATGTTACGTTATTTTATATTATATTCATCAAGTTTATACCAGATATACGTGTATTACTAGATATTCTTTGCAAAAAAAATTTACTTTTGATTACATTGTTATTGATAGTGGCTCATTGTTGGCTATAAATAAGGTAAAATTTGAATTTAACATTGAGGATCTTCATTATTATTTGATTGAAAATATTAGAAAGGTATATGACTATATGTGTATAGCAGTTAGACTAGTCATGTTCTATCGAACACATACACAAGAAAGTTAATTTTTGTGCGAATTGAATTGGACAGCAATATACCATAATTATTTTGATCTAGGTTTATAAATCTCCAAGAATTGAAACCTCCAAAGGGCTTAATTAGACCTGATTTTTGTTATTTATTATTTTTTTTTAATTGTTGTTGCTGATATTGTGCAAGACTATATATAAAATTTGGTTGTCTTCCTCTTTTTACCCTTCCCATATTTTTTTAAAAAGTTATAACCTAATTATACTTCACTACAAAGGTAGACAATTTTTGAGCTAGATCATCAAGTTGCTTTCTCATATGAGAGGTTGTGAATTCGAGTCTCAATGAAGGTGTGGTATTGACATATGAGAGGTTGGGCTATCCGCTTAACAATCCAGGTCCTGGCCCAAAGAAAATCGTCACTTGTGAAAATTAAACACGGGTTATTCCAGAATTCTCCCCCACAAAGAGAGCTCATTTGCCACTTAATTAAGCTACCCTGTTGGGTTTAAGTGATTCAGTAAGTTGAGGAAGTACTTAATTGAAGGGCAAATTATATCGTGCACCACGCCGCACATAACAATGTGCGCCCAGGCATAAAACGCGCGCGTTTCATGTTGACCTCACTCCGTCCATCTGAACAGACCAAACCTCATTATGTGTATTCAGTTAAAATTTTATGTGTATTGTGTTATGAGTTTATATGTATTCAGTTAAGAGTTTTTGTGTATTATGTTAACCAAACCCCACTATGTGTCTTCAGTTAAAAGTTTATGTGTATTGTGTTATGAGTTTATGTGAATTCAGTTAAGATTTTATGTGTATTCAGTTAAAAGTTTATGTGTATTGTGTTATGAGTTTATGTGAATTCAGTTAAGATTTTATGTGTATTCAGTTAAGAGTTTATGTGTATTATGTTATGAGTTTATGTGTATTATGTTATAGTTTGTGTATTATGTTATAGTTTATGTGTATTATGTTAAGAGTTTATGTGTATTATGTATTATGTTAGATTATGTGTATTATGTTATGAGTTTATGTGTATTCTGTTATGAGTTTATGTGCATTCGAAACAGATGATTTTTTTTTAACAACTTAACAAAACAACGTCGTTTTGGGAGGCGCGGGGCTCACATTGCTATGTGCGACATGGTGCACGATATAACGATTGTAATTGAAGTGCATAATTTTTTAATATTTCATAATTTACTTATTAAATAGTTTGTACATTGGTATTCATAAAATGGGAAGGGAAAACATTTACAAAAATAGTCAAATCAAATAATACTATTGATGACCAGTATTGGTGACAAATCACCCAACCACCTTAATTGGAGTTCTTGATTTTATTTTCAACTAGTATTTATTAACATTTTAAAGTTCCATCAATCAAGAGACAGTGTGATAGGATATTTCACTAGTTTGGATTTAGTTTAGACCTATTTCATAAATGCCAAGATAAGCTTTCAATTCTCTCTATTACCTAACCCCCCACCCATCCAAACAAACAAAAACTCCCAAACAGGTGACTGAATGAGTGGAATATGATTCTTATATCAGAATGTTACCAGTTCAATTCTTGTCTAACACCATTTTAGTCGAGCCTGATGCATAGGGATTTCTTAGTACGATTTACCTCCTTATCGAGTTCGACACATACACATACTTTTTCTAGTGCGATTTACCTTTCCTGTGTGATTCGCAAGCTATTACACATAAACAAAATTTATCTAATACATACTCTTGACTTGAATAATGACGGCGAGTTTCCTTCGTTATCTAAAACCAAAAAAAAAAAAAAAAAAAAAAAAATCACTTGTGTATGGTAACATATGGGGGCATGTGGCATAGTCTTATCATTGAAAATATAAAAATAACAATAAGTGGAGCAACACATTTCATGCTGGTCCCCCCCTAAGCAAGTTGGTAGCTTTTGCTCAAATTCCCTTCACCACACTGTTGTTGTGAGGGAAACAAATAAACCAGTAGGGTCACTTGAGAAAGCAAGATGATAAGGTTGAAAATTTCTCAAACACAAAACAACAGATTCTAGGAAAAAGATGGTTTTAATTAAGGTTTTGAGATATTTTGGGGGTAAAAATCTAGATTTTTAACAGGTTTGACATCAAATACTTCTGCACAGAGGAAGGTCAGTGGTTTAGAGATCATCATAGAAGATAGAGCTGCAAATTTCCTAGCCAACCATAACTATACAATCTAAAAACCGAAAATTGCACTTCTGGTCTTTAAGTTATAGTGTAAGTAGAAGTTTAGTTTTTAATTATCATGAATTGTAAATCTGACCCTTAATTAGCCACAAAAGCGGCTGTTTTCGTCAGTTGGCGGACCAAAATAACCACTTGTGAAAGTTGCAATTTTGGTCCCTAATAAATCTCCGAAGAACAAAAGTAATCACTTTTATGACTAATTAAGGGTCAATTTGCCGACTAAACTTACACTTGCCCTATAATTTAGGACCAGAAGTACAATTTTCTCAATAAATTAACGATTTGACAAGTAAAAATGCCAAAAAAAAGGGAAAAAATCCTTTAGTTCTAGCAGAGGACTAGAGGTAGATGTATATACAGGTGGAAGTGGCATATGTGACCTGGTGAAAGGCTTTGTGAATTAGCTTGCTTCTTTGGAGACCCTGATTTGGTAGCTACCTTCCTGACATTAGATGTACTAAACCTTGGTTTTCGTAAAACGAGCCGATATCCCAATCCTCAGAGGAGGATGACAGTGTCATAAGAGCAACAACAATTGACCTCATACTAGGCCTGAGCTGAGGATTCTCATGTGTGCAAGCCTTGGCAAGATGAGCCATCTGCAAACAAAGACACCCAAAAACAGTTCACCAAAATGAACCTCATCTTCCCATATTGTTCCACTCACATCTATGTTTCGTTTTAGTATTTTACCTTAACGACCGAATCCAGGGGGCAGTCGTCGCCCAGCCTGGGATCGACCAGTTTTCGTATCCCTTCTGCAGGGTCTGCCCGATCAAGAACATCCTCAAACTGCACACGATTGATAAGATGTTGGAACTGTCATTAATGTTTCAGAAGTTTAGGATTGCTAAGAAAGGGTACGAGGGATCTACCAAGGCGACTAGCCCCCTCGCTTCAGAAACCACTTCGTTCGTT